TAAAAAACAGTATACAATATTAATTTCACTGGGATTTTCTAGGTGCCAGACATTAATCACACATTTTTCTTCATATAAATAATATTTTTTTACTAGTGAACTAAAAAATCTTTGCAATTTAAAAAAAAGAGACTTGTATGGTGTCACACCACATTCAAGTGAATAAAATCTGAACCCGTACAGTTGAGTTCAATCAATTATCCCTTATCATCCATCCCCTTTTACAGGGCTGATTCCTCACCTTTCTTATCATCAGTGATACCCCACGAGGTGAGATCTTGCATGGAGCCCCAGTCCGAGGGAGACTGACAGTCGTCTTTAGCCTCTTCCATTTTCTAACATTTGCTCCAACGGTTGATCTAATTTCACCAAGCTGCTTGGCAATTGCCCCGTAGCCCTTTCCAGCCTTGTGGAGGTCCACAATTTTGTCTCTGGTGTCTTTTGACAGCTTATGGTCTTGTCCATGGTAGTAGTTGGCGTCTGACTGACTGTGGGGTGGACAGGTGTCTTTAACCACTTGAGCTCCAGAGGATTTACCCCCCTTAATGACCAGGCCTCTTTTTGCTACTGGGCGCTGCACTAATTCAACTGATAATTGCGCGGTCATGCAATGCTGCACCCAAACAAAATTTACGTCCTTTTTTTCACACAAATAGAGCTTTCTTTCGGTGTAATTTGATCACCTGTGCGCTTTTTATTTTTCACGCTATAAACAAAAAAAAGGCCAAAAATTTTGAAGAAAAACAATATTTTTTATTTTCAGCTATAAAAAATATATAGTAAACTCAAAGTTGGTTATAAATTTAGGCCAAAATGTATTCTGCTCCATGTTTTTGGTAAAAAAAACCCAATAAGTGTACATTGATTGCTTTGTGTGAAAGTTATAGCGTCTACAAACTATGGTATAAATACTGCAATTTACGCCATTTTTCTGCTATACAGCGCTGCGCTAGTTTAACGGACAATTGCGCGGTCATGCAATATGGTACATAAATGAAATTTACATCCTTTTTTCCCCACAAATTGAGCTTTCTTTCGGTGGTATATGATCGCCTGTACGTTTTTTATTATTTGCGCTATAAAAAAAAAAAGTCTGACAATTTTGAGGAAAAAAAAAACAATATTTTGGACTTTTTGCTATAAAACACGTCCAGTAAAAAAAAATGCAAAAATCAAATTTCGTCATAAATTTCTGCCAAAATGCATTTCTGCGACATGTCTTTGCTAAAAAAAAACCCAATACGTGTAAATTAATTGGTTTACGTGAAAGTTATAGCGTTTACAAATGGCGGGAAAGATACTGGGATTTTTAGGTTTTTTTTTATACTAATAATGGCGGCGATCGGCGAATTATGGCGGCGATCAGGAACTTATGGCAGTGACCAGCTACTTATGGTGGGACTGTGGGACTGCGGCAAACATTTTGACGTTGGGGGGTACTGACTTGGGGTCACTGACATCCCCAAAAACACTAATACAGTGATCAGTGCAAGAAAAAAAACACTGACACTGTACTAATGGCAATGGGGAGGAAGGGGTTAACTTTATTTTGCAGGGAAGGGTTATAGGAGTGAGGGGAGTGTTTTACTAGGGGGCGGGGGGGGGTGTGTGCTGGACGGGACAAGGCTGATCGAGAAAGATAAACTGTTCTTTCTCGATCAGCTCATCCTCGAGCTGAGAAGGAAGTGACAGACAGCACAGCTACTGCAGCTGTGCTCTCTGTCATTGTTTGCCACCGATCGCCGGGACATAGCCGCTAAGGAGCGGCTGTGACCGGCGACTGACATCTGCTGCGGTGATCCGCGGGACAAATAGGACAGTGTTTACAAAACACACGTCTTAAAACGTGGTTTTGCCTGTGAGTGCCGCCCTGCCGCCGTATATGTACAGTGGCTGGCCGGCAAGTGGTTAAAGAGCTCAGACAGGTGCTACTAAGTTAGATTAATGAGTGGAGTAGAGGTGGACATTTAAAGGCACAGTAACAGGTCTTTGAGAGCCAGAATTCTTGCTGTTTCTTAGGTGTTCAAATACTTATGTTCAGCAGTGCAAGACAAATAAATTCTTTAAAAATCATACAATGTGATTTCCTGAATTTTTTTTTTAATTCTGTCTCTCAGAGTGGGAATGCACCTACAATGTGAATTTTAGACCCCTCCATGATTTCTAAGTGGGAGAACGTGCAAAATCGCAGGGTGTTCAAATACTTCTGTTCCTCACTGTATGTGTTTAGTACCTTATACATTAAACTTGCAACATTTGCTACATTGGGGTACAATCCCTTCCATTTTTTCAACATAAATCTTGTTCGTACATGGATACAATTTTCACGTAGCGCAATACAGGAGTTTTGTAGTTAGATTCTTCAGAAACAGGGATCATCTGTGGTATAAATATAGAATTATTCTTTCACATATTTAACCGTGAATATATGTAAACATGTGAAATACACTGTAAAATGTGTAACATTTCTATGCTACATTTATACTTCATATTATCTTTTAATGCCATACTTCATTTTTGGTCATGGCCCAGATCACCACACCTAAATATCTTCAAACACAATAGAAAGAACAGAAGACTGACAAGCTTCATTTCTCTGCTGGTTGGAATATCTGCATAGTTACAATTTAGTACTTGTTTGATAACATTGTACTTATATCACACTATCCATTAAATGGCAGCATTGTTGAAGAGCAGTGGAGTTTAGCTGATTTCATGTGTGGATGCCAGGCAAACACTTCAAGGACTGATGCCAGGAAAGCCTGGTACTATTCCTTCACACTCATCCATCAAATATTTATCTCTGCTGTCCTAGCGCTTTGTATTCACGTTGTAAGATGACCACCTATTACGGTCACAGTCACCGTAACTTTACAATAGCTCCGTCACCTCCAGAAAATCTTATACTATTTAACTATTTAAAGAAAAACTAAAATGAATATGGTCATTTTTTTTTAATTATTTTTTTTGAACGTTTACACATTTATAAACTAATCTTTCTATAATTTTTCTCATTAACTGTGTAAAATGTACAATATATTTTATTAATAAAAATTTGACGCATAATACCGTTTATGGGCATCTTGGCTTTTGATTAACCTCCCTGGCGGTATGATTCTTTTCGATTTTTTGTGCTGAAAGCGGTACCATTTTTTGCATGGAAATATGTAGTTTTTTATTGTAGGCTGTCATTTTTAGGAATAACTCACTGAAATCTGTCCGAACAAGAGTCTAGTAAACATTCCGGATATGATAAAACTTGAATTCATAAATTATAATTTAATAAATAATCATAAAAAATAATAATATAATAATAATAAATTTAATTCAATAATATAATCAAACCAAAAACACTGAAATTTGAAATACAGAGGCAAATTCGCACATCGCTGAGCAAAGTCGCAGAATCGTTTTCAGTGTCTGATGACGAATTTCCCCACAAATCATTATCACTCAATTCTGCAAGTGCTTCTGATTTACTATCGCTGTTCTAAAACCGCTTTTGACCTAAAGGGACGCTTTTTGGACGCCATGGACTTTTCTAAGTTTTCAGGCAGAAAGGACATTCAAAATGCAGGCAGGGCACAGGACAAAGCAGTAGGGACAAAATATATGTGAAATGCATTGAAACAGCAATGACAGGAAAAATGACATTTTTTAAAAATTTCAAATTTTCCGACGTCACAGGGACCGGAACACAGACGCCGGATGCCGGCATCGGCCGGAGGAGATGGCCGGGGACGCTGCAGGGGACACATCGCGGGAGCGAAGGACAAGGTAAGTGCTGCAGGGACCCCCTGAGCAACGCCGCATGGTAAGCCCGAGTGTAGCTCGGGGTTACTGCTCTTGGTACTCAAATTTTACCCTGAACTCGGGAATACCGCCAGGGAGGTTAAGAAAGGATGGTAGGGCCAGTACCCTTTTTGATTGGCTTAGTGTCAGGAGCATTATGTCAGCTGTAAGGCTCATGCACATGTTTCGGGGACAGAAACGTACACACAATGGCATACTGGCTCCTAGTGGCCTATTTAAACATGGGCCCTGCATGGGATCATTGCTGGATGGTCTTTCTTGTTATCCATGATCTTGAATCATGCTTGACTCTGTTATTGACCCAGGTTTTGTCTGACCTGCCTATGGATTACCCCTTCTTGTTTATGTCTGTTGCATACCTGTGTTACCAACCTCATGACCAAGATTTTGCCTTTTGATTCTGTATGTCCTTGTCTGCACATCACCAACCTGTGTTCATCACTGATCTTGATCCTGCTCATGATTTGGTGCCTTCCTGCTTGACTGTTACCGACTTCAACTTATTATTTTATAACTAATTATTATTATTATTATACAGGATTTATATAGCGCCAACAGTTTGCTCAGCGCTTTACAATATAATGGGAGACAATACAGCAACGATACAGTTCAATACAAGAGGGATAGGAGGACCTGATCCTGGGAGCTTACAATCTAGGAGGGAGGGGCTAGTGGTACAAAAGGTTGGATGGACTGGTTGGAAGAGTAGAAGATTCCAGTATTAGCTGAGGGCAGGATAGGCTTCCCTGAAGAGATAGGTTTTCAGAGATCGCCTAAAAGTGAGCAGAGTAGGAGATAGTCTGATAAATTGGGGTATTATTATTATTGTTGGGGTAGAGAGTTCCAGAGGATGGGGGAAGCTCTGGAGAAGTCCTGGAGATGAGCATGAGAGGAGGAGACAAGGGAGCTAGAGAGTAGGAGGTCTTGCAAGGAATGGAGAGTACGGTTTGGGTGGTATTTGGAGACAAGATCGGTGATGTAAATTTGGGGCAGAGTTATAAATGGCTTTATATGTTATTGTTAATGTTTTGAATTTTATCTGTTGGGCAACAGGAAGCCAGTGGAGGGATTGGCAGAGAGGGGTGGAGGACACTGAGTGGAGGCCAGTGGAGGGATTGGCAGAGAGAGGTGGAGGACACTGAGTGGAGGCCAGTGGAGGGATTGGCAGAGAGGGGTGGAGGACACTGAGTGGAGGCCAGTGGAGGGATAGGCAGAGAGGGGTGGAGGACACTGAATGGGGGCCAGTGAAGTGATTGGCAAAGAGGGGTGGAGGACACTGAGTGGAGGCCAGTGGAGTGATTGGCAGAGAGGGGTGGAGGACACTGAGTGAAGGCCAGTGGAGGGATTGGCAGAGAGGGGTGGAGGACACTGAGTGGAGGGCAGTGGAGGGATTGGCAGAGAGGGGTGGAGGACACTGAGTGGAGGCCAGTGGAGGGATTGGCAGAGAGGGGTGGCAGATACAGAACGGTTAGTAAGGTGGATGAGTCTGGCAGCAGCATTCAAGTTAGACTGAAGAGGGGATAGCCTGTGCCCTGACCCTGCCCTCTACTAGTCTGGGTGAGGCTGGGGTGACCTCATTGCTGCACTTCTTCTTACCTGACTCCCAAGCTAATTCTGAAATTCCAGCTATCCAGTTCCTGTGCCCTTGCATTGCCCTAGCAGAATAAAGGGCCACCATCTTATGATATTATCTTCATGTATCATTTATTAATATAATAAAAGCAAATGTTATACTGACAAACACCTGTATATATTAGCCCATCAATACAATCCACCACCATAAATGTCATGTCCACTGCACATGTTCCTTGTCATAGGAAGTAGCTTCCCAGATATGTTACGGCTGACATGTTTCAAGGGGCGTCTTCTCTTTATCAGAGTCACAAAGAGTGTAATGTTTGCTTTTATTATATTACTAAATAATACATGAAGATAATGTACTGGGCTGGTCCACCCTCTCTTTGTTTTCGCTTGAACATATCTTTTTTATTGGTTTTATAATAAACAATACAAAGTATGCAAACAATGTCGAGATGAAGAAAGAAAATGAAGATGTAGCAGTAAGAGGTAAATTGTCACTGGCTGGTGCTAGCACCTATTGTGGATAAACAGAAACTAATTACGGAGTATGCCATTTACCATTATACATATTAAACAAAAGATTTAGCATCACATAGCCGCAGTAGTGATGACCTAACATTGCAATGTAAGAGATCTGAGCCAAGAATTAGATGAACCAATAAGTCAACAACTCAAGATACTGATATTAGAACGACTGTCAAGAGAATTTTGATGACTAGACAATTTTTTAAATGAGGATTCTGTAGTGGAATCCAGTGGTCCCAAACCTTATTAAATTGTTTCAAAGTACTCAACAGAAGTGCCAGATACCATTCGCGGTTTACTATAATGTTCATCTGACCAGGGGCGGACTGACCATTTAGGCACTCGGGCACTGCCCGAGGGCTAAGGGTCAGTAGGGGGCCCCATAAGATGCCCCTGGTACCTTTCATATTCTTTTTTGGGTGTGGTTTCAGTGTAGGCGAAGACAACGGGCCCCATGATTTCCTATTGCCCGGGGGCCCCATGAGTTGTCAGAACGCCCCTGCATCTGATGCATCATATCTGAAAGATTAGAGGTTAGAATCCCAGCAAACAGTATCTGCACAACCAGGAGCATGAAGTTGCATGGGCAGTTGTCAATACCTATACTGAGGAGGGCAAGAGCAGCGTTGGGCCTCGTCAAACAGCTTGTGAGTTCCGAAATAAGAGAAAATACTCTATTCCACAAGAGGAATGTGTGGACACTCCCATTAGATATGGAGTAAAGTACCAACCTGTAAACATCTTCGTTAGCATAGATTATCATCAAGGTTTGTGAATTTTGCTAACCAAACAGGGGTTAGATACCAGCTGTGGTGTATCTACTGGGAGATGTCCCAGTAGTTTATGCATTTAGTGTAGCCTCTCTCTTATATAGTTGTTATAGTGCTATGCAGGGGTGGACTGACAACTCATGGGGCCCCTGGGCAATAGGGGATCATGGGGCCCTTGTGTCCTTGCCCAAACTCAAAAAAGTCTATGAAAAAGGTACCAGGGGCATCTCATGGGGCCCCCTACTGACCCCAGGCACTCAATAGGGGATCATGGGGCCCCTGTGTCCTTGCCCAAACTCAAAAAAGCCTATGAAAAAGGTACCAGGGGCATCTCATGGGGCCCCCTACTGACCCCGGGCCCTTGGGAAGCACCCGAGTTTCCAAATGGTCAGTCCGAACCTGGTGCTATGTGTATTGGGGCTTCCCCAGTCCTAAGAGGGCAGCAAAGCATGGTGGCTTAACATAGCAACAAGGTAGAAGAGTGAGAGCTTATAGACCACTGAACAGCACAGGAGGTTGTCCTAAAATATCTGATTGCCCTAGCAGTCCCTAATTCAACTTCCAAGGGGTGTTCAGATGGGATTTGTGCAAGAGGCCACCCTCAAGGCTGTGACAACCCACATGGAAGAAAAATATATTTGAAATATATTTTAAAAATATTCTTTCCAAATATATTGACATATATTTGAAATGCTACAATTTTGGCCATATTCAATATATGTCAAAATATATTTCATTAAATATATATATATATATACAGTGGGGATCGAAAGTTTGGGCACCCCAGCTAAAAATTTGTATTAATGTGCATAAAGAAGCCAAGGAAAGATGGAAAAATCTCCAAAAAGCATCAAATTACAGATTAGACATTCTTATAATATGTCAACAAAAGTTAGATTTTATTTCCATCATTTACACTTTCAAAATAACAGAAAACAAAAAAATGGCGTCTGCAAAAGTTTGGGCACCCTGCAGAGTTAATATCTTGTACTGCCCCCTTTGGCAAGTATCACAGCTTGTAAACGCTTTTTGTAGCCAGCCAAGAGTCTTTCAATTCTTGTTTGAGGTATCTTTGCCCATTCTTCCTTACAAAAGTCTTCCAGTTCTTTGAGATTTCTGGGCTGTCTGTCACGCACTGCTCTTTTAAGGTCTATCCATAGATTTTCAATTATGTTGAGGTCAGGAGATTGTGAAGGCCATGGCAAAACCTTCAGTTTACGCCTCTTGATGTAATCCCCTGTGGATTTTGAGGTATGTTTAGGATCATTATCCATTTGTAGAAGCCATCCTCTCTTTAACTTCAGCTTTTTCACAGATGGCATCAAGTAACCATCCAAAATTTGCTGAAATTTTATTGAATCCATTTTTCCTTCTACTCGTGAGATGTTCCCTGTGCCACTGGCTGCAACACAACCCCAAAGCATGATTGATCCAAACCCATGCTTAACAGTTGGACAGAGGTTCTTTTCATTAAATTCTGTGCCCCTTCTTCTCCAAACGTACCTTTGCTCATTCAAAGTTCCAAAAAGTTCAATTTTAACCTCATCGGTCCACAGAACTTGTTTCCAAAATGCATCAGGCTTGTCTATATGTTCATTTGCAAAGTTCAAACGATGATTTTTGTGGTGAGGACGTAGAAGAGGTTTTCTTCTGATGACTCTTCCATGAAGACCATATTTGTACAAGTATCTCTTTATAGTGGAATAGTGTACCACAACTCCAGTGTCTGCCAGATCTTTCTGGAGGGATCGTGCAGTCAAACGTGGGTTTTGAATTGTTTTTCTCACAATCCTGCGAGCTGTTCTGTCTGATATTTTTCTTGGTCTTCCAGATCTTGCTTTAACTTCCACTGTTCCTGTTGACTGCCATTTCTTAATTACATTCCGAACAGAGGATATTGACATCTGAAAACGTTTTGCTATCTTCTTATAGCCTTCTCCAGCTTTGTGAGCATCAACTATTTTCAGTTTCAGTTTTCTAGACAACTGCTTAGAAGAACCCATGGTGCTGATTGTTGGGGCAAGGTCAGATGTGTTTGGGCATTTAAAACCTTTGAGATTGACATCACCTGGTCTTTCGCAGACGATGATTGAGAACAATCCATGACACTGGCAGGTCTCAGCTTGGCAAAGGGGGCAGTGCATGCTATAAATTCTGCAGGGTGCCCAAACTTTTGCAGACGCCATTTTTTTGTTTTCTGTTATTTTGAAAGTGTAAATGATGGAAATAAAATCTAACTTTTGTTGACATATTATAAGAATGTCTAATCTGTAATTGGATGGCTTTTGGAGGTTTTTCCATCTTTCCTTGGCTTCTTTATGCACATTAATACAAATTTTTAGCTGGGGTGCCCAAACTTTCGATCCCCACTGTATATATATATACTGCGTGTTGAAATGCGTTTTTATTACAAAATATATGAAAAATATTTTTAACAATACATTTCAAATATACTGTATGTCTTTAACAATACAAATCTACATTTTTGGAATGCATTTACAAATACATGTAAAAATATATGTTAAAATTACTTTTTTATGTGTTACAAAAATCTGAAGAATATATTTAAAAAATATATATTTTTTAAAATATTTTTCTTGTATTTTGTAATATATAAAAAACATTTCAACATGCAGTATATATACTGTGTATATATATATATATACAGGGGCAGACTGACAACTCATGGGGCTCCCGGGCAATAGGGGATCATGGGGCCCCTGTGTCCTTGCCCAAACTCAAAAACGCCTATGAAAAAGGTACTAGGGGCATTTCATGGGGCCCCCTACTGACCCTGGGCCCTCGGGCAGTGCCCGAGTTTCCAAATGGTCAGTCCGCCCCTGTATATATATATATATATATATATATATATATATATATATATTAATTGAAATATATTTTGAAATATATTGAATATGGCCAAAATTGTAGCATTTCAAATATATGTCAATATATTTGGGAAGAATATTTTTAAAATATATTTCAAATATATTTTTCTTTCATATGGGAAGGCTGAGCAGTTTGGCATCTTTGCCCTGTGTGCTTGATGACCTTGTCCTGGCACTGAATACCAGTATTGCATTGTGAGCAAACATTACAATCTAAACACCCAACATCTTAAGTGAGCAGAGTTTGTACAGGTGAGTTGTATTTTGTTTGCTGCTAAAGCCCGTCGGTCGGCGTGAGAGCTAGGCAAGATTTGTAAACCAATGGACAATCGACCATGAACAAAAACTAGAAGAATGCTCCAAGAATCCATTAAACTGAAATTAAATTTTCAATTAAAATAATTAGAGTAGCCAACTTTGTTCAAGATGACCATTCAAAGCTAAGAGACAACAATGGTTCATCAGTACTAACTACATTTCCAGGACAAATCTATTGTTTGTCCAGAATGAATTGCCCTACCCCATTAATAGATAGGGAGATATCTGCCATCTGGCATTTAATTGGCATATGTACCTCGCTGCTGCAGTATGTTTTCTTAGGCAGCTATATTAAAACACTTCTGGACTTACCCATTGGAACTGAAGAGAAGAAAATGGAAACACATGGAATTTCTGTCTATAGCTACCAGATAGAATTAATCTCTAGCCTTGGTTCACATCTCTGCCTGCACAGGGGTGTATGTGGTTTAAGCGCATTCTCACATGTTGCATGTAGGGCTGTCCGCTTCATGTCAATGGGCTGC